CACCACCCTGTTAGTGAAAAAGTTTTTCCTAATATCCAACCTAAACCTCCCCCACTGCAACTTGAGACCATTACTCCTCGTTCTGTCATCTGCTACCACTGAGAACAGTCTAGATCCATCCTCTTTGGAACCCCGTTTCAGGTAGTTGAAAGCGGCTATCAAATCCCCCCTCATTCTTCTCTTCCACAGGCTAAACAATCCCAGTTCCCTCAGCTTCCCCTCATATGTCATGTGTTCCAGTCCCCTAATCATTTTTGTTGTCCTCTGCTGGACGTTTTCCAATTTTTCCACATACTTCTTGTAGTGTGGAGCCCAAAACTGGACACAGTACTCCAGATGAGGCCGCACTGATGTTGAATAGAGGAGAACGATCATGTCCCTCGATCTGTTGGCAATGCCCCTACTTATACAGCCCAAAATGCCATTGGCCTTCTTGGCAACAAGGGTACATTGTTGACTTATATCCAGCTTCTTGTCCACTGTAACCCCTAGGTCATTTTCTGCAGAACTGCTGCACAGCCATTCGGTCCCTAGTCTGTAGCAGTGCATGGAATTCTTCCGTCCTAAGTGCAGGACTCTGCACTTTGTCCTTCTTGAACCTTATCAGATTTCTTTTGGCTCAATCCTCTAATTTGTCTAGGTCCCTCTGTATCCTATCCCTACCCTCCAGCGTATCTACCTCTCCTCCCAGTTTAGTGTCATCTGCAAATTTGCTGAGGGTGCAATCCACACCATCCTCCAGATCATTAAGGAAGATATTGAACAAAACCGTCCGAGGACCAACCCTTGGGGCACTCCACTTGATACCGGCTGCCAACTAGACATGGAGTCATTGATCACTACTGGTTGAGCCTGACGATCTAGTCAGCTTGCTATCCACCTTATAGTCCATTCATCCAGCCCATACTTCTTTAACTTGCTGGCAAGAATATTGTGGGAGACCGTGTCAAAAGCTTTGCAAAAGTCAAGGAACAACATGTCCACTGCTTTCCTGTCATTCACAGAGCCAGTTATCTCATCATAGAAGGCAATTAGATTAGTCAGACATGATTTGCCCTTGGTGAATCCATGCTGACTGTTCATGATAGTTTTCCTCTCCTCTAAGTGCTTCAGAATTGATTCCTTGAGGACCTTCTCTGTGATTTTTCCAGGGACTGAGATGAGGCTGACTGGCCTGTAGTTCCCAGGATCCTCCTCCTTCCCTTGTTTAAAGATGGGCACTACATTAGCCTTTTTTCCAGTCATCCAGGACCTCCCCCAATCACCATAAGTTTTCAAAGATAATGGCCAATGGCTCTGCAATCACATCCGCCAACTCCTTTAGCACTCTCGGATGCAGCTCATCTGGCCCTATGGACTTGTGCTTGTCCAGCTTTTTCTAAATAGTCCTGAACCACTCATTTCTCCACAGATGGCTGGTCACCTCCTCCCCATGCTGTGCTGCCCAGTGCAGTAGTCTGGGAGCTGACCTTGTTCGAGAAGACAGAGGCAAAAAAAGCATTGAGTACATTAGCTTTTTCCACATCCTCTGTCACTAGGTTGCTTCCCTCATTCAGGAAGGGGCCCACACTTTCCTTAACTTCCCTCTTGTTGCTAACATACCTGAAGAAAGCCTTCTTGTTACTCTTAACATCTCTTGCTACCTGCAACTCCAAGTGTGATTTGGCCTTCCTGATTTCACTCCTGCATGCCCAAGCAATATTTTTATACTCTTCCGTGAACATTTGTCCAATCTTCCACTTCTTGTAAGCTTCTTTTTTGTGTTTAAGATCAGCAAGGATTTCACTGTTAAGCCAAGTGAAAGTAGACACTAAACACTTCCGTCTGTTTAAACTATGAGCTCCCTGGTTAAACCACTGTCATTTTAAAGCTACTCTAAGTGTGGAATTTTATAAATCATTCCATTTCTGTGTGACATTACCAGGGAGATGGAGGCATTGTTAGTGAGGAGGAGAAATGGACTAGATAAACACAATTTTTATGTGATTTCTATGAACAGGTGAATCTTAAGAGGAGGAGGAAATCATATTAAAACCAAGGTAAGTAACAGCCTCTGCCTTTAACAGACTCTTAACTAAATGGCTTAACTCACAGGAAGTGGCTTCTCCCCTTAACTTTCCTGTAAAACCTGCTTTCCTTAAGCTGTTCATTATAACTTGATTTAATTACTAATTGTAATACCTGGCAAGCCAGATTAATTGAACCATTGACTCAAAAATTTGTAAGAACTATACTGAAGTTTTTTTTTTTTTTTACATTGTAACTTCACCACAAACTAGCCTGCATAGAGGTCAAAAGGTGAAATCATTAAAAATTTATTCCTGAGCCCATCCTATATTTGAAGTACTCGGAATAACACCCAGTAATCCCAAGAGTGGGTCAAAAACTTTCCATCATAAAATGCTGACTTGATTATATCAAAACATTCTGTTGGAATGTGTTAATTAATCAAAAGTTTTGACTCCCCCTCTAGGAAGTGCATTCAGAGATCTCAAGCAGGGAGCAATGTGATAATTATGACATGGTACACAGAAGTTACTTTTCAAAAAAATGTTTGGGTTTTAAGTATGTTCTAATTCAAGATTACTACCACTTTCACCACTCCTGTTAAGTGTCTAGCATTGTTTGTCTGACACACTCTTTATAATTGTGACTGATTAATTCAGCTTTCAGTAAGCTCTTTGCTATATGGAAAATCCTGCATTGACAGTGTGGTAGGAGGACAGTACCTAATAAGTCTCTTAAATTTCTACATCTAGCAGCTTTGAAAGAATCTCTTTCTTTTATCTTGAGGCAATATGCATGTTAATATCCCCGTGCAAATCAAAACCAGGTGAAATGTGTATGCTAGTAGGTAGGTCTCGTATAAAAATAGAGAGGGTTTTTTCCAGGAAAAAAATTTTTCAGTAGAAATTTGAATCGAAAAAAACAAAAACCAGCCAGAACTCAACATATTTGGTTTGGAAATGCTGCTGCACTGCACTATAGAATGGGCTCTGTGGCCAGCCTGCTTCTCCCATGATTTATCACATTCTCCCTTCCTGGAGAGGGAAAATGGTGCTTTATGGGAGATGTAGTCTGACAGGGAAGACCAGCTTATACAAGAGAATGGTGGCATGAGTCAACTAAAGTATAAGTTCCATAAAACACCATAGCAGCATTTCTATTGTTCAATTACCAAAATCCTCCACTTTTCAAAGCGCGTTATGAACATAAGCAAATAAAATCATTTGAGTATCTCAAACTACTCAAGTCCTATTGTTAAAGCACTATCAGTTAAACCATACTCTCCAGCAGCAAGTGTGTGCACTGACTTCAGAATTGCCTGTCAGTCTCTCACTATTTTTTGTATTAATGGATGGATTGAATCCAAGGTCTTTATAAAATATTGCATGTTTACGTTGAGAGGCAATATTGTAATTTCTTCCCAAATCTCAATTTTCTTCTGTGTTTCTTAGTGGCTGTTCTACCCTTCCTCTTTCTTCACCCAACCCCCTGATAATATAGCTGCTCAATCCTGCCCAGCTTTTGCCTGAACAATATTTTTAAGAGGCTCTTCCATATTCCTAACTTTAATAACCACCCTTTTGTGTCTGTCTCAGCAGACACTGTGTGTGTACAATCTGTCTACCTTTTATTGCTATTTTTAACTCTAGAGCAATGGTGAGCTTCAAATAATTATAAGATTTTTGGATTGGCATGAGCAGAAAATTTGCATAATTATTTTTGTTAGTTTAAAAAGCTCTATTAGTAATTTGCTCTTGAAATGCAGAGGATTTGTAATGAACAAATGTGTAAATCTTTTCTTGAAAGAATATTGGCAATGAGATTTTTTCCTCTCAACCTTGTAGACCATTTTTGAATAAAAACCTTGTTGAAAAGCTTTGTAAACACATTCATCTGTAATGCACTTTAGTACACTAAATATTGCAAAAACAATATGTCTGAGCAAAGGCTTACAAAAAGCATTACTGGGTAAAAATAGTGGTACTGAAAAGTATGGCCATATTAATATAAATTACTAATAACATACACTGGATTTTGGTACATTGAAGGCTAGACTCACAAAGGGATTTTGCCACCTAACTGCCCTTTTAGGCACCTAAGTACAAAATTTAGACCCTCTAACCCTGTAGGTGCCTAAATTCCTTAGGAACCTAAGGTTCTGCCGGTGGGCATGCACAATGCTGTGTAAATCCTGATGCCACAATCTGCTTGGTGCCTTAGTCCCAGCAGGATCCTCGGACTAGGTGTTCCCCTGTCTATTTAATTGGCGGAGCCCAATCTAGTAGGTTTTCTCAGAGCATGTCTAATCCATGATTGCATTGCCTCATACACTGTCAACAGATCTGTGGTTAGGGCACTCTTCTGGGATATGGGAGATCAGATTTAAAACCCTACTCCACCTGATTGAGAGCAGCGATTTGACCCAAGGTCTTTCACTTCCCACCATATGCCCTAAACACTGAATAATGGGTATTCTCTCTCTCCCTCCCTCCCCCGTTGAAGCTATTCTACTTCATATTAATAATTAAGTGTTTATTGGAGCAAGGAATAGAACCTGTCTCTTCCAGGTGAATGCCCTAACCTCTGGGTTATAGATTCCTTTTTTTCCTCTAGTCTAGGGATCAGCAACCTTTGGCACGCAGCCTGCCAGGGTAAGCCCCCTGGCGGGACAGGACCGTTTGTTTACCTGCCGCATCTACAGGTTTGGCCAATTGCAGCTCTCAATAGCCACGATTCGCTGCTCCAGGCCAATGAGGGCTGCGGGAAGATGTGCAGGTCGAGGGATGTGCTGGTCGCTGCTTCTCGCAGTCCGCCGTTGCCCTAGAATGACTAACCACTGCCAGTGGGAGCTGCAATCTGCCAAACCTGTAGACGTGGCAGGTAAACAGACCATCCCAGCCCGCATGCCAAAGGTTGCCGATCCCTGCTCTAGTCCAATTAATATTTAAATGTTTTCCAGAAAACTGCCTGCTTATATACCACAGAAAGAGTACCTCCCATGAAGAGATCACCTGGAAACTTAATCTTCGGGGGAACCAAGGGGCGTCTGTTTAAAAACAACAATTTTCCATAAACTTTTTTACAGTAAGAAGTATAAGAAAATCTACTGTAGAATGGCCTGATCCAAAGGCCATTAAAGTCAATGGAAAAACTCCTTTTGACTTCAGTGGGGTTTGAATCATACCTGTATCCCTTGTTTACTTGTTATTTAAACTAATTGTCACTTCAGACAAATGACATTTGGGAAAGGATTAGGTGAAAGAGTGTGAAACACAATGGTAACAAATAATGCTCTAAAAGTTGAAAGTTTGAGGAGAGTATTTTCTTGCATTCAAATATTTATTTAAAGGACTTTGGATAATCTACAACTCCTGTCTTGTCTTGGAGGTTAAAAACAACAACAATATTTCCTCAAGTGCCCAAAGTTCAAAAACGGTTAGTTCTGGACCCTCTCGTGGTATGATTTACATGAGCTGAATCTTGGTGATATTCCTATACGCTACTATCCCCAAATGAGTTTAAACCTCCTAATATGTTGCTGTCTAATTGTATTAAATGGGCCAAATAGTGCAGACTTCACTTGGGCTGAGGACTGAAGTAATTAACCCAAAGGTAGGTGTGAATGTATAACTGTTTGTATGGCTACAAAACGTAGCCATACAAAAAGAACTGCATGCACAATTTATGTTTGTTTTGAAGCTGGAATAGTTTCTCTTTCCATCTGACAGACATTAATCGTAACCCTTCTGCGAGGTGGAGTTGGCAGTATCAAGGGCCACATTCAATATCTAGGTTAGGGGTTCCTCTTAAAAATACAAAGAAGAACCATCTTGAGCACCTACCCAGTAATCTGGGAAAATTTACCCCCTCTCACCCCCGCCCCAGGCACCTCTAAGAGGCAATACTTCCCCACTCACAAGCAATGAGTCTTTGTATATCAAAATAATTTTTTTAAATAAAAAGGAAAATGGAACCCACCAATAACTTGTGAAAACACCACAACCACCATTCAAAAGCATGTAACCCTGAGCAAACACCTATCCCAGAGTATGTTGGGCAGTGGCCTTTGGCCTCAGTTTCTCACCTTGTGGTATGAAAGACCAGCAAATGTTCCTTTAACCTGCCATTGCACTCTTCTTTCTACTGCACCCCGCTTGGAGTTGTTCTTGGTAGGCAAAGGCCCAGAGTTCAGAAATGCATTCGCTTGAGTTCTCCTTCTCCTCCTCCGGGGGCAGGGAGGAGAGGTGTCAAGCAAAGCCTTAGCTGCTGTTGCTGTCGCTGCCTCTTCAACTGACTCACAGTTGCTGCTGTTCACACTTGTGCCGCTGGCTGCTATTGCCACCGTTCACTCTGCTACTGTCCCTTGCTCTGGTGTCACTGGCACTGTCATATTCTCCCTGGTGTCCCATTCGGAGGTTTCGCTATTTAACCCAGCTTGCAGTGATTTCAGTATGTCATGGGGAAGGATGAGCAGTGGGTTTTTTCACTAACACTGTCCCACACCAGGTCTAAGTCTCAGCAGCTAGACCTGGTTATTGGTGATTTCAACTCTAGCGATCACTTAACAAAACTGAGACTCTCAATTGAGTCTATTCAGTTCTGTTTTCAAACGGTGGAGATTGGAAGGGTCAAAAGGTGTCTAGGTCTCTTTAGGCAGAGTCCGCATGACAAGGTAAACACTTTTTTTGTGGTTAGAGCACAAACTACATATGTACCTTCATATGGGTGCCAGCTTGGAGTGTTTGGGAGCAGTCTAATAACAGAAAGCTGAGGGCAAATAGAAACTTGTGGCCTTTGCAAGCTGAGGACTGTCTGATTTGGTATCCCTACCCTCTGCTTAGCAAGTGATGTTCAGTTGAGTGTCAGTGTAAACTGTTGGTAGGAGGACTGAAATATAATAGTCACTTGAGATCCAGTGTCAGGCACTGCTTTACATGCTGTACCTTCAATCCAGCTCTGCAGAATGTTGGTGAAGTATGTGGATCACATTGTATCTCAAAAGGATGTGAGTACTGATCCAACAGATGAGCACTCCCGACATGGCCACTCCCAAGTAATTACAGGGAGCGCAAGACCTTTCTTGGATTTAGTGGTTACTATCAAGGTTTGAATATTTATGCTACCATTGTAAAGCCTCTGAATGATCTCAGGGGATACCAGTCCATCAAGAGCAAATCTAAGACCAAAGGTAAGGGGAGGTTCTGGAAATTCCTGAGAAGAGACACTAAGTCCCCTTAGAACCCTTTGGACTGCAATGGAATGAGAGATGTGAAAATACTTTTTGATAAACATTAATTGCCTAACTCATGCCTAGTGTTTGCTGACCCAAGCAAGCATTTTATCTTCCATATGGATGCCAGTTTGGAGGGTCTAGGAGCAGTCCTGTACCAGGAAACTGAGGGCAAATGGAAACCTGTGGCCTTTGCAAGCCAAAGACTATCTGATAGCAAGACTCACTACCTCATTCACAAGCTGGAGTTCTTTGGCCCATTCCTGAGAGGTTTCAAGACTATATGTATGGTGCTTAGTTTCAGGGATGGACAGACAACAATCCACCGACTTACATGTTAACAAGTGCCAAGCTGGCTGTTACAGGGTGGAGATGGGTGGCTCTAATATTTGAATGCAGGGATAATAGAATGTTATCCTTATTGTATGAATAAAAGGGAGGCAGAACTGTACTTAATTGCCCTACTTGAGGGTGACCCTCTGCACCGAGTTGTTTCACAAATGTTTGGAGAGTTTGATTCTTTATTACAATTCTGGAGGGGGGGAAATGTTCAAAATCTGAACTTTCCACAAAACGGAAAAAGTCTCCCAGCCTCTGTAACTTCCCACACAAATGCGCTGGAAAACATTAAGTACAATTACATTATTTTGAGGTATGAGCTAAGTTTTGATAAAAGGTCCATGGACAAATGGCAGATAAGCAGCATGTAAGAAGTTTCTTCTAGGGTTTGGGATTTGTAAGATTCTTCAAAATCCATTCAGTGGCTTATGCTGGGTCTGCGACTCTTAGTGCTTTCAGGCCTATGACTTCCTGAAAGATGCAGGGTTGGCTGAAAGCAAGTAGTTTATGGCAGAAAGCACCATTATAGCTGATTCTTAATCTGGAAAGACAGTGCTTACAATCAATTCAGGTTATGTTTCTTCAATCTTTAGATAATTAACACTTATCAGTGGGCTCCAGTGAGACAGCTGAATATGCTTTTTTTAAACATATGTTACTATGAATGGCTCAGTGCATATAGTATCTGCACTCACTACTATTATACAAATTTGGGATATTCTCTAATCTAGAGGATTTTTAATTCCAAACAGTTACTCACACAGAGTTTAGATGGATGCAATCATGCGTCCCATATATTTCATGGTATTTAAATGCAAACTCTTCACTTTTCCTCAGACCAGAATGCTGAAATCTCAAAAGATGAGGAGTACCTTGTGACAGACTGACAATACCATGCCATATCCTGGACAAACTTTATAGAATTAAGATAAACTTTACTGAATTAAGTTAAACCTTATTGAATTAGGTTTAATACCTTTTGGGTACATTTCATTAAAAATTCAATTGTATATGTGGTGTTGTGGAATTCCGTGTAACTCCTCTGGGCTGAGAGGGATGCTAATGTAATTCTTCCATTATTCAGCCCTTAGAAGCTACCCTTCCGGAGAAGTTTGCATATTCAAACTGTGTTCTCCAGGAACCAAGGGACAAAGATAGTACTTTAGATAAATAGCCTGGTTTTAAACAGGCTCAGGGCCTTCTTTCTGATCCAGCAAACAGACAGGACCCCTGGTCCCTGGAGAGACCCAATCCTTAGGGAACAGTTGATAGGACTGGGCCTGCTGAGGCCCCATGAGACTGAGTGCTTGTTCTGAGCTGAAACTGATGCACTTGAAACCACAAAGAAACCCCTAGGGTGAGGTACTGAAGGTCTGTTCCTGCCAGAGCCTATGTTAGGCATATTCTCTGCTAAGCGTATTAGCCAATGTTTAGGTTTTTATTTTTTTAAAACTTCTTTTCTATAGTGCTTTTTACCTTAAGAATGAAGTCTTGCTTAGAAAGAACTGTGTGGTGATTGAACAGCTGTCTTGGAAGAGAAAGCAGGCAGGCCTGTTTAGGAAGCCTGTCTCTGCTTGGGATATTACAGTGAAGGCAAGGACCAGTTCAGGCTTGGAGATATCCCAGTCAGAAGGAAGAGAGATGCGGGGAGCTGGGAGGGAGAGGTGGTGGCCAGGGGAGCCAGAAGTCTAAGAGTGGGTGCTGTTACTGGACCACTGAAAGGAAATATAGGTGCAGTTTTCCTGAACTGTGACATACCTTTCAGGATGAATTCACTCAATTACTTTTCATGTATATTTGAGCCATCTTTTGAGATTTCACAGTTCTGAGATGATTAAAATAAGTAAAAATTCTTCTAAGTTTTTAAACACCACTTGCAAGGGATACAACAGCATAGAAATTGGTTATCCAAAATGGCAGCATTTTTCAGTATATTTGGTATCCTCTAGTCACTCCAGACTTTGGGTCTGATTTTTTTTTTCAGAGGTGCTAAGAATCTGTGGTTCCCATTGCCTTCCAATGGAGTTGTGGGTCTTCAGTACCTCAGAAGATCAGGCCCTTTGTCTTGGTTCATGCTCTAAATTCAGTGAACAGTTTACCTACCTAAAGTTTCTTCAATCTTTTTTTTTAAAAAAAATACCCTACTATTTGAAACCCACTCATTCTGACTATGATTCATTCCATTCATAATGATGTCAACACCAATATATCTCTTTTCTTCTGTTTTGTGTTGTACTTGACTGTTCTCATAATGTAAACCCTTCAAACTTGTTTGGAAATATGTGGTTTAGGAAAACCAGAATACTAAATGTCTTTCCCAGCCTTGTCCATCCATTTGTCATGCAGTCACTTCCATGCCTTCTTCCATGAACCCTCTCATATGTGGGATGAACTGTCTGAGCTCATCTGCAAAGTCTAAACTCTATACCATGTCTATATTTAAAATCTTTTAAAGATCCATGCTGCTTACAATGAACAACGTTGATTTTATATGATCTGCCTATTGTTGCCATTCTCTTTTCTCTGACCCCTAACTACCTTTCTGCCTTTATATACTAAATTCCCCTGGTCGGGGACTATCCTCCTTCAGAGTTTGGAAAGCACCTCTAGAGTAGTGGATGCTACTGTAATTAAAGAACAGATTTTGTGTGTGTGTACACAGCCCCTACCCTAAATGGGGATCTTGACTGAGGTTTCTAGGCACTATTGTAATATAATAATAATAAGCTTCTTTGTTATTTTGGCTTTGTAGTAGAGAAAGGGGAGTCTTAGGAAAAATCATTTAAAAACAGATGAAAAACCCAGTGTTTGCTATTCGTAAAGCAGTTCAATAAGAATATAATATTTTATAAAACAAGTTCAAAAGCATATTTATAACTAGGGATGTTAAACAATTTAAAAAAAATAATCGCAATTAATCCCAAGATTAAAAAGGGCCTAATTAATAGCAGTTTTAATCACACTGTTAATAATAGAATACCATTTAAATGTTTGGTGTTGGACTAGAAGTGTGGTGTGTGCATGCCTGTTGGGGGAGTGCTGTCTCTTTAAGCAGAGCACTCAGGACCCTGAATGCGTTTTCAACCAGCAGCAGCAGACAGGCTCCCCATGTTCCCAGAGCAACAGCAACTGGGTCCAAAGCCTGGGACAGCCCGACCTCAGCCCCCATGAGCATGGAACTCTGGTGTGCAATTAATACTCCTTTTTAAAAAAAAACAAATTTGTTTTGAGTTAATTGCATCCGTTCTCTGTGATTAATTGACATCCCTTATTATTTTAATTGACATCCCTTATTATTTTGATTACAAATATTTGCACGGTAAAAAAGATTTTTAAAAGGTACAAGTCACAGCATGAAGGGGCATACAAATGTTTAGCATATCTGGCATGTAAATACCTTGCAACACCACCTACAACAGTGCCATGCAAGTGTCTGTTCTCACTTTCAGGTGACATTGTAAATAAGAAGCAGGCAGCGTTATCTCCCGTAAATGTAAACAAATGTTTTTGTGTTAGTGATTGGCTGAACAAGAAGTAGGGCTTAGTGGATTTGTAGACTCTAAAGCAGAGATCGGAAACGTTTGGCACGCGGCCCGCCAGGGTAATCCCCCTGACGGGCCAGGCCGGTTTGTTTACCTGCTGCGTTCGCAGGTTCAGCCAGTCGCGGCTTCCACTGGTCGCAGTTCGCTGCCACAGGCCAATGGGGGCTGTGGGAAGCCGCGGCCAGCATATCCCTTGGCCCACACCGCTTCCCGCAGCCCACGTTGGCCTGCAGCGGCGAATCGTGGCCAGTGGGAGCCGTGATCGACCAAACCTGCGGATGCGGCAGGTAAGCAAACC